CTACTCCCACTTCAGCCGAGCTATATAACTACCTGTTTGTCTAACTATCTGATAATCATATTCCATCGTCATGTCAACACATAAATATTTGAGAAGTGCCAAGTGACACTCCAGACATTCCACAGTACAAATTCTTGTGATTCTAGGGACAGTGCCTATCTGATTCTACATTATTGCAAGGCTGTAGAAAGTCATAAAACTGAACTGATACGCTTTATCATAAAGGTGACCCTGTCTTCTTGAAGTGTGGGCAGGTTTTGTTTGATTTAAGAAAGGTCTTGAAGAATGAATTAGATAAACGGGTTGGAAAAAGGATAACGATCTCAAGTGAGTTGTTTAACTGAGCTGAAAATAAAAAATCTAAAGTTTGGAGTGTTCATAAGTTGACGCTTAATACTCTGCTATTGTAGCAAAGTTGTTCCTCTAAAAAAACCAAATACATACTATTTAAATTACGGAAGTCTAATTTTTTTCTAGAGAAGACCTAAAATCGGATATTTTTAAATTACACCGGAAAGAATTTTGAGTGAACTAACTACTATCAATACACCATTCAGATTTTTTCGATACATATTCCCACCTCTCTGAATAAATTTTTCACCTGCTATATTCCAGGCTATGAATCAGATTGTAAGCAGTTCCGATGACGTTGGGTCGTTCCAGGATGACATAGTAGTTCATGCTGAAAATACTGAGCTGCATGATGAACGTTTTGTTAAGTTCTTTTGAAGCTTTCTTGATACGGGTATTTCCGCGAACCGACTCAAGTTCCAATTTCAACTTCATTCTATCAACTGTCTAGGCTATAATGTAGACGCCAAGGGCTTCAAAACCCCCTGATATGAGCCGCTAAGTCCCACTGATTGTAGGACCACTATCCACGAATATCTCTGTACACACATCATTGATTGATCCTCTTCAGCTTCATTTCAGGTCTGCCTGTAACTTTATAGGAATATTATACACATTTGTTGACTTTGTTTCTAGTCAGGTGTTTGTAAAGGAACAACAACAGCATGGTGTACTAAGAAAATGGGCCAGTCCATGGCATACGATTAACTGATGCGCGTTGGCTGTCCCTGACCTTGACGAGGATCAATGATTTGCTCGATATTCAATGACCCAACTGCCGGATGATTTGGCCCTGCAATATCATGGTGAAAGTAAGACATACGAAGGCTTAGAGCTTTTTTTCTGTAAAATAATAAACTTAGGGAATTTAGTGTAAGTCACTTAGGGAATGTTCATATGTTCAAAGCAAATTCCTGAAAAAATCATAAAACGTTGAGTAGGAAGACTTCATATTTCCCAAAATTCAATTTAAAATGTCAGGAGTTTCGTCCATTACAGATCTCAAATCTGTGTTTTACGAAGTTGATTTCAAAGAAATTGTAAAAAAAAACCCTGATGAATATAATGAGAAGTAATTTATGAAATGACTTATAATATGTTGATCACTCAAACATGCACTGAGTTAGCATAACGAAATAAGTTCGTTTTAGGATAACAAAAACCCAGATACAAACCTCAAAGATTTCTGTAAGCCACGTGAAGTCACCATACCTGTTTTTGGTGTCATCACTATTTTCTAATAGTCTATGTACGTGAAGATGCCACAAGTATTCGGAGTTTGACAACACTGTGGTGGACCAGACGATATATAAACACAAAAAGTATCAACAACGTTAATAAAAATCAATAGTAATATTAATATATACCAGTTAAATGTTACAAATACAATAAAAACGGGACTTTACTTAAGTTCACCCAAAATAATGCGTGTTCAGCTTTAGTCTGGTACAATAAATCCACAATTATAAATACTGGGTAATTTCCAAACGTGTCGACGAACTCTACAGTGGTGTAATCCAAAGTAAGGTATGGGGTATTCGCACTCAGAGTCTATGAATGTAAATAATATTTGTTTTAGATCTCAGTTAACTCAATCACGAATGAAAATAGAACGAGGAATGTGTGAGAAGCAGTATATTTGCTAGCCAGCAACGGTATGTCACGCTATGTCAGAATCACAACGGAAAGTGTGTTCAAGGTCATTTACTAAAACAGTTACAGTCATTTAATGTTAAATATACATACAGTGGAAGGTTGGCGAAATGAATACAACTAACATTGAAAACTATTTACAAAATAAGCTTGTCAGGCCTATCTCCACAACATTTTGACCAGTAGCAGCTTTTATAATCAAAACGTGCCAACCCAGTGAAATCAGAAGCGAAGAGGTTTGAAGATACATTTGACAGAATATCGATATATCGAGAAGTGACCAATATAAACTGGCTATCAGTTGTAGATGTGAAATGCGGCGAACACACTCGTGATCTGGTGTGGATGCGTGACCGAGTGCCTTCAGCTAGGTGAATCTGTAGAACTATGGTCTACTATGATATTAGTACTGCTCTAATAATAGACCTAATCCTAAATTTGTAGATTTGTCATGATATAACTGCCTAATCTATAAGATCTTACGTGGAAGTCACACCATCGACTACACCAACTTACTGTATCGTATCAATTACCAACACATGATGTAGAACAAGGTTAGGCTAGAGAAAGAACAATATATTTAATATGAATAGGAGATATAAGGTAACATTCAGTAGGGACCACGCCTGCATGGCCGAGCAATGCCACTCGATCAACTCCAGTCCATTCAATTCATTATTCGCGCCTTCTCCATTGTTAGGTATTTCTCCGCGTTAAATATTGAATATCTATTTCTGAGTAGTCTTGTGTTCAGCTTTGGAGATTGTGTGGTTATGGTCCAATGCCACTACAAATCCATTAAAACTAATGCGGTCAGTAACAAATGTAAAACACTTACAGAGCTATTGATTTTGGGGATCTATTTACTGCTACATACATATTGCCCAATAGGAAACAGAAAATTTCAAAGTTCACTTCAGCATTTTGCAAGATTGGCTGTATAGTGTAATTTCACCGTCATATTTAATTAAAGTAGTATTTAATCTATTGCGAACTTCCTGATTAACGAAGTATAGCTAATGATATTTGAAATAAAAGAACAATTCGAATAGATAAATAATATAATTAGTGTCTTGTTTAGATTGGCGCTAGACATGTCACTTCCGATTGACAAAACATACCACTTATAACTGTCATCATTAGTAACACACGCCATAACATATGACGAACCAAATTTCTTCAAGCTATAATATATTACAATTGATTAAGTAATTTATAAGTCCAATTTTTGTGTCTAGTTTGATCGGCCTATTTTTAGATAGTAAAAATGATGTGATATGATCTTGGAAGGCGGGATCGTGGATGCACACTGCTGAGGAGTCCCATACTAGGACGAAACGGCCATCCATTACTTCCAGATTTTCCATAATGGTCTAGCTTTAATTGGCTCATGAATTCAAGTAGTAAATTACTATAATATCCACAAAACTCCTCCCTGACTAAAAATGATATGACTAATTGTTATATTATTCATGTTATAAACAGAACTGTATGTGATAGGAGACGACTGAAAAAAAGAATCAACATTTTAGGTCATTGGTCAGTGAGATAGAAATCCTTTACTTCGAATTTCGGCTTAATGTACTGTATGATTGATACAAATCTTACTGAACCGATCAGGGGTAGGGAGGAAGCATTTGGTGGCTTTTTCTGTTCGGTTTTGTAGTTTTAGAAGGTAGTAATTATTTCATTTCAATATTAATTATATAGTCATAATCTAAGCTTGATCTTCCGGCATTCCGCAGCTCATTGAATTGTAAAATTCTAGAGAAAGGGTAGCAATCATGTTTGTTATCAATCTGTATATTGTCAGTTATCGTACTGTATTCCTCTAGGTTCTATTATCAGTAAGATAGCATAGTACACCTTAATTATATACATATATGATTTGATTCTAACGTTATGCCTTGAACTATATTTTTGAAACACGAAAGAATGACCTAATGAGTCAACTCGTAGTTCGTTTGCTTATTTATTTGTTTAAAAACGTGAACATGGGTACAGGGCATGAAATAGATATGCGCCCCATAAATTATTCGATTTGTTTGAGGGCTGGGATACTGCCAGGGTGCTCAAACCGAAGCATGTGGTTTTATTCGGGGGCCACATCCCGAGCCTACGACCTAAACTTCTGATCCACAAGGCAGTCCTATGATAGTCGGTGAACAATAATCGGTTCATAATCCATTTGTTCCCTTAGGATCCTGGTGTCCATGTGCACCACTGGTTTGGAATCAGGGTTTTCTAACTCCCCTAGGTGGTCTCTGCATGTCCACCAACCCGGTTAAAGCGCCAGACACTCGCTTTTCATCCTCTCAGTTTTTTTGCACCAGTAATGGTGCGAGAAGGCAGTGAATAGAACGTCCCTGTTAGTGGTTGTATGCACGAGGCCATATGAGAGCATTTGGTGAGAGAAAGAGGGCTGATTCTCCCCACTCTCGTTCGTACCAGGGCATTCGTAGTTTCTAACTCAACTTAATTCAATTTGATTTTCCTGACCAAGAAATAATTTTCACTGGTTGAAATCATGAGTCAATTGAAGCTAGACCACCATGGAAAATCTACAAGCGCTGGACGGCCGATTACTCCTAATATGAGACTCCTCAGCAGTGTACATCCATGATCCCACCCCTTCAACATTCGAACCCAGAACCTGACAGTCTCGCGCGCGAAGGCTTAATCTCTAGACCACTGGGCTGGCATGCAACAATGTTAATGTCTAACTCCAACCAATCCACGAAATTGAGCCAGCATCCACCATTGTCTTCAGTGAGTTGATATCTCACAACAGACCTGGTCGAACTCCACTGGTCACGGCTTCTCATTAGAACTCCAAGAGTATCTCTTGAAGTCCAGTGCTCTCAGGTTTTCCATGGCGATCTAGCTTCAAATGACTCATGATTTCAACCGGTGATATTTCTAAAATCTTCACAAAACCCCTTCTCACGAGAAATAATTACCAATACCCCTTACATAAAAATCAAACAAAGAAACAATGACTAAAGATCATTTACATAGACCTGTAAATTTGATTCATAAATTGTATTCATCATTTATGAGTGGTTTTCAAAAGGGTGAATAATAATCATAATAATAATAATAATATCCAAAAAACGCCCTAGTAATTATCCTCCTATAAAGTTACAGAAATTGAATGAACAAAAAAAGGTGGTGGTACAATGAAAAAAGAATTGTTGCTGCTTCTCTCCCTTTTTTTTCTTCTTCTTCTGTAAGCTTTATTCATAACTGTTCTCAGATAATGAGCTTACACAATAATATTTAATATACTTAAACAGTACACGTTTAGTATGTTCCAATACTGGGTATCATAAATATATCTCAATGAAATCTTTATTATCCATTTAATCATAATATTTCAATCAATTACGTAATATGATATATAATCTATTTATATTTATGATTTACCACCACCTGAAAATTTTTGTCTTAAAGCCATAATTGCTGGGGATATATTCGATACAGATTTGGATCGTTTCACTATTGATTGATTAGATTGTAATGAGGTTTCATAATGATTTATTGATGATGATGGTGTTGTTGTTGCTGTGGTGGTGGTGGTGGTGTTGGTTACTGTTGTAGTAGTTGTTGTCATTGACGATGATGATGATAATGATCTTGATGTAGATGTGAATTCATTCGATTGAGGAATATTACTTTTGGATTTTTCTTGTGAATTTGTTTTGACATGAGTTTTATCTTTTTTTGTTGATCTCATAAATAGATTCTCACGTGATTTACTAATCGTTTTAATAATAGAATGATTATTATCATTATGATCAGATAGATTCTCTTTGAAATCATTCAATGAATTTGGTTCAACTGAATGAGCTTTTTCAAGATGTTTATTATTAGAATGATTAGACCAACGAGTAAAACGATTAGTAAATGATAAACGTGAATGTGTTGTACCATTATTTATTGATTTATCTGTATTATCAATTAATTTTAATTGATTTTTATCATTTTGTTTATGATGATGATGATTCGTTGTATTGATTTTATCGAAATCAATGTTTAATATTGATTTTGATTTATCATCAATTAGTTTTGGTGATAAATCAGTAGTATGTTTATTATTATTATGAGTAGTAGTGGTAGTAGTAGTAGGAATAAGATTAGATGAATTATTTAGATCATTTCTTTCTTCAGAATTACATAAACTTAATTGACTTGTTTTGGTTGATTCATTATATAATAGATTATGATAATTTGTATGTTGTTGTGTATGATGATGTAAATCAATTTCACTGGATTTATTCTCACGATTCTCTTCAAAGAACATACGTCTTGCTGGTGAGATAACACTTCTAATTGGTGGTTTACCTAGAAACAAGTAATTATATATATCAGATGGGTTTTGTGGATATTATAGTAATTTCAATGGTTAAGATCATGAGGAGTCCCACAATAGGAGGAGACGGCCGGCCAGTGCTTCCAGGTTTTCCATGGTGGTCTAGCTTCAACTGACTGATGATCTTAACCATTGAAATTATATATATGTTTAACTATATTGTTCATCATAAATTGATATCAATTAAAGAATACAAATGAGGGTCGAACAGATATTTTAATCTACCTTAAAACTTCTCAATTGTGTTCATATACTTCTTAATCTAGATAGGAACTTATGATTACAAAGAAATTCTATATCAGAATAAAAAAAATCCAGTGCTTCCAGATTTTTTCATGGTGGTCTCATGAATTCAACTATAAAATTACTAAAATTTCCACAAAACCCATTCTGATAATAATCCTCGTATGCTCACTAGTAACTGTCTCCAAGAAGTATTTCCTGGAGTTCCAATGAAAAGCCGTGAATAGTGGAGTTCAACTGGGTCTGTTGTGAGATATCAACTCACTGAAGACAATGGTGGATGCTGGCTCAATTTCGTGGATTGGTTGTAGTTAGACATTAACACCGTTGGATGCCAACCGGTTCAGTGGTCTAGTAATTAAGCTGTCGCGTGCGAAACTGATAGGTACTGGGTTCGAATGTTGAAGGGGTGGGATCATGGATGTACACTGCTGAGGAGTCTCATATTAGGAGGAATCGGCCGTCCAGTGATTGCAGATTTTCCATGGTGGTCTAGCTTCAATCGACTCATGAACTTAACTATAAAATTAAGAAATATCTGTTCAATACTACCGTATTGTCAGTGGTTCGCTTGTTCATGTTAGTTCGTGGTGAAAACAGTCTTTACAATGAACAAGTCTCTGCAAATTATCTGCAAACATACCATTGATAGATAATTCATTGATATTATGAGCCATTATAAATTTCCGATAGGATTGAATTAATTATGAAAATTTTCATTGTCGAATGGACATTAATTCATGATTTGTTCATTTACAATTGATATGGCCTACTGAGAGATAAACTGATCATTGTAGTAGGCTGAAGATAATAAATGAGAAACTTAGGCTTCATTTTAACTAGTGCTCGTCAGTAGAGTGTATCTACGATTTCGAGGGAACTGATTTTTGTTGTGGAAGTTGAAACTAAGCCATTGGATGCCATAAACAGAAACACTATCGCCAGGCTATTTGGATCATGATTGACCTGTAGAATTTACGTATTTGTATTAATCGATCACTGATTAGTAGGTAGTGTTATATTTGTCTAATCTTGGGTAGTGATAGAACTCCATCGATCAAGTTACAGTGCTGCCATTAACCTTAGTGATTCAACATTAGATGCCACTATATTTTCCTATTAGTCAGGTGGACTCATTTGACAAGACACCATGGTCTTAAGTTTTGTGCTTATTATGGAAAAAGTCTTCAATCCCAAACAAACTGATTTTATTCGTGTGATTTGCATAAATGTAAGTGAATATTCTAAGTTTTTTTGTTAAAATTTAGTCCATAGAAAAGAGCGGACAATATGAAATCAGTTGTTTCTACGATGAAGTAACGATCATTTAGATAATTATTTAAATTTAGAACAAATACCAAGTTGTTATTTCATTCTTTTCTCGTGCTCTGTTAGAAGACGTCTTTTATCAATTTATCAATAGGAAACCGGAATCATTAAACTTCAGTCAGTCAGTCAGCCAGCTACAACGTAGGACCAGCCACATATATGCATCCGTCCAAGTTGCCACAACTCATTAGCACAGAAAGACGAACACCAAATTCATAGAAATAGTCACTTCGATGGTAGTAATATATAAAAGAAAGATTTCATATAAGGATATGATACAAAGAAAAAGAATTAGTTAGTAGAAAGAAAGATATGAAGCGATTTTAATCTCATAGTTCAACGGTAGACATAGAGTATATACACCTATACTATTGTGATCGATTCTGAATAATATCACATAGAGTCTCTAATCATTGGTTACGATAGTCACGTGGATCCTAACAAAGTAGTGTGCATTTACCAACATGGCTCAGACTAGAAGTTAGTGACTTCAAGCACTGGTGCCACGTCTTAGTTTGGCCGACCCTATCTCTAACCTCACTATTACTCACCAAGTGATCCCTGCAGTTGCGAGCAATATTTCTAAGTCATCTGTGGTCCAGTACTAGTAGCTTACGAATTTCTTCTACTCTTAATGGCCACGTTTCTCAGCCGTAAAGTAGAACAAAACGAACTGTCGCGCAGTATTTGACCTAGTCTAATAGTGTGACGTCAGCGGTTTCACAATATTGATAGTTTATTGGTTTTACAATGAGTGAGTTAATCAATCTATATTAGTCTAAAGAAATTCTGTTTACAAATATTAATGTTATTTGAGGACTTTACTTGCCACAGATCGATCTCCGTTGAGATATCAATGAAAACTAGGAGACATTGAATGGCTGTTTCATGACAGCATGTTAAAAGTTGTGACTAGTTGAAGTTATTTAGGTGGAAAGTGAAATAGTTGTCATCAATGGTATGAGATGCGATCATAATGTGCTCATTGTTAAGAAGATTCATACGAAGACAAAATAGCTGCCCAGTGCTTCCTGGTTTTTAGTAGTAGTCCAGCTGAAGTGAATCTATGACGATGAGTCTCTTCTGAGTCAAACATAAACGTCTTTCTCTAATAGCTATCCAACTAATTGGATTAGCTCAGTAAGAAAATTAGTGCTTAAGTTTCCCTAGTCGCTCAAGTACTTTATAAGTCAATGATCCCTTTTCAGCATAAAATATACCAGTAATTATTTTAATTGCAAGTTACTGATTCAAATCACAATCTTAAACATTTATCTCATGAGTAAATTTACGTTTTAAAATGAAGGCTTATCCAGAATGGAACCACTGAAAATTAGGGTCTACCAATTAATCATTTTGTCTCATTTAAAGACACCTTGGAGTAAGTACCCTAAATCGGATATACATTCAACTAGATTAGTTGGATTAAACAATATAAAAATATAACCATTCACTTGTAACACATCAGTTCAGTATTAAGTGCTCCTTTATAAAACTGTACGTCTTCTATTCAAAGATCGCTAACTGGACGGCCGTTTCGTCCTGTTGTAGGACTCCATAGAAGTGTGCATCCACGATCCCACTCGCGGGATTCCAACGCTTAACCTACTGGACCACTGAGCCGGCATCCAACGGTGTTAGCTAACTTTCGTTTGGAACTAATACCATCTGAGGAAATAACTAGTCAATATACCATATTTAAAATCAGGAAATATTTTGTATGTATAAAAATTCAATATCATTAGTCTCATATACCTGGTAATGTAAATGATCTTTGAGAATAATCATTAATACTAGCCAAACTATCTTGTGAACCTTGTTTAGAAGTTGGACGAACTAAAAATCCAAGTGTTGGATCAGGATAATTTGATATCTGAAATGAAATACACAAAATATATCAATGAATGTTAAAACAATTTGATTACATTTCTATAGTTCAACAATTACTCGAATAATTTCATCAAGAGATATTTGATGAAATTCAAAAAAGTTGAGTAGATAGATACTCGTTGAAGAGGAACATAATAAAATATTGCACTGGAACATGGTTTTCTAGACCATACCATCCAACTAAAGCATCACAGGGATGTAAGTAAATTATTGTAAGCATAACTAGGAAAATAACCAAATGTTATTGGCTTATCGAAACGTTGGAGAACAATCAATTGATGCAAACAAATTTTCAGTTTAATTGTTACAAACCAGTCAATTGATGAAAGATGCGATATTTTTAGAAGTTGGCTGTTACTAGATGGAACAAAAGGAAGACCGAAGAAATGGTAACACCCAAAACTAGTTTTCTCGGACTTTTATTACATCTATTCTTACTACATAATTTTTTGATTGAGATCATGAACCAACCAAGTACTAAACGGCCATTTCGTCCTAGCATGGAACTCCATAACAATGCGCATCTACGATTCCGGACTCTGGACTTCAACCCAAAACTTTCGGCTCTGCTCGAACGCTTAACCTCCTGTACCAGGAAGAAACGGCCGTTCATTATTTCCTCGTCTTCAATGGTGGTCTAACTTAGACCCATTCGTGACTTTAATTGTGAAAATGCTTCAACCTCCACAAATTCCCAACCTATAAAAGTCGTAAAGATTGAAAACTACTTAGGTAGATAACATATTAAAAAAGACGATTCTGTTTAAATCAATCAAGCGTTTCAACAAAGGTTGCTAAAACTTCAAAACTGATGACGACAAGAAAGCTGAAGAGCTTAAAATAGGGTTTCCTGTTGACTACCTACGACCAATTAAGATCTCGACATAGTGCACATGATGTCCAGTCACTTAGACTAGTGAATCAATTGAAATTTACTTGACAGAATTCGATCAGTAGTAAAGAGTACTCGACTGACATTAATCATTATTCAGTGATCAGTTAATTATAAACATCTGATAAGATGGAAAATATGTGAATCATTAAAATTAAAGCAAAAACTCAGGATGAACTGAATTACTGATTCATCATAATCTATGACTTGCAAGTAGCCACAACCCCAACAACGGTTGATCTACAAGTTGTTCGCCGAGCGGTCAACGTTTAGACCGACCACCTGGCATTCAATAATTTGTGTATCAAAATTCAGTCGGGTGATTAAAAGGTTGAGCACTTGCCACGAGATTTGGAGATCGCAAATTCGATTTCCTGTATCATTGTAGATGAATACTCCAAAAATCCGCCGCAGTAATAAAAATATTAAAGAATTGAATGAGTTAACGACTCATGGTAAAAGATGAAACGGCTAAAGATTGCAAACATTAAATTTATTACAAATATTAGAAAAAATGTTTACTCTATATCTGATTACCTTTTTCACAGTAACTTCAGGTGAAACTGATCTGCCACAACGACTATTAACCATTAAACTATAACTGCTTCCACCACCTATTCCGGTGCTTGTTGCAAGACTTAATGCACTGCCACGAAAACCATTTATCAATGATGTACCACTGGTTGTACCTAATCCATAATTAATCTCTTTGAAATTTAATCCAAATGGATGACCACTAGAATGGCCATGAAAACGACCAGTTGTCCATTCCATTGATGTAGATCTTTGATTTGTTAATGTTGATCCTTTCGGTAATAAACTTGGAGAGAATGGTGAAATTGTTGAATTGATCATTAAACTATTTTTTGATGATTGTGGTATCATTGGACTGTTTGTTGCACCGGAACTAAGACCAATACCAGAGGTACTTTCAATAGACGATACAGAATCAAGCATACTGTATGTGTAGATTGTGAAAAATATACATATATAAATCATATTACGGTTGGAAAGTATCAAAAGAAAATGTAATTGACCAAAGTAAACTATACCAACTAACCACTCAGATTTAAGTCAACGATTAAGGGATTTTTTGCTTGGAATTCAAAACGCATTGTTCAAAGTTTATGCGTTATTATGAGTTGTGTAGGAATCAGACAAAACCTATCAAGATTTAGTTAGTCTGACACTCAAAATAGATAAACATTATGAGATGGGATAATAAACTGAGCATTGGTGATTCTTAAAATAACAAAAAGTACTAGGTTTGAAGAGATTACGAGTTCACCTAAACCTGTAATACAATGAATAAATAAGCTGGCTATTCCGATGCACCCCAGCTTCGCTAACTAGAGAAAGAGGGATGTCCCATTTCAGAAGAGGGGAATGTATCCCACAAGCAGCCAGAAGCACGACCAACAACCACAAGCACAATTCAAGCGTATATGTGCAGCATAAAAATGTTCTTGGGAAACGTTACAAAATAGCATATTAAAGGAAATAACGAACCAATGACATTTAAAGTCTTGACAACTCGAACGCGATTGGCGCGAAAATAAGGAATTCAAATGTCCAAAGTAAAATTACAAAAATAAAACATTTACCAAATGAGTTCTGGGTATCTAACATCCCCCACAGTATGATAATGATTAGTCCTTTCATGGGGAAGTAATAGGAAACAAGTTTTTTTTTGAAAAATGTAACAAACACTTTTGTAGACTTTTTAAAGGACATAAAACTTTTTAAGATTTGAATCCAAGGAATGACTTCGATAAATACTCATCATTATGGATATGAAGTATCCACCCTCTGTGACTCCAACTGTAACTTATAACAATAATGCAGTGAACAGAATACGAGTGGGGACAATCAAATGTATTTGACACAAAATTACAGGACCTGTTAATAAAATCGAACAATCAAATGGTAAATACGTAATTTGCAAAATGTTCATCGATTGTCTCAAAATGACTCAGACTTCATTGTTCTTGCATTTCCATACAAATCACATCCTGATCCATTCTTTACTGTTCGATCCTCTTGTCTCTCTGATGCCAGACCTTCTATTCACGACTAACATCATATACTAACATCATATACGGCCTGCTTGAATATCTGGGCTACCTGTTCCACCGATCTAGATATTTCATCAAGTTATCTGTTTTGTTGTTTGTTTTAGCACATCACTATGTCTATTGTGCGCACAACCTATTCAGGCGCGTTTATGAAAAGTTTACAACCTTTCGCTATACGGGATACAAGAAGGTACAATCAGAGACATCATGGTTGCTGGCAATATGCATTGAAACAAATGAACAGTAATCAAATGTGGATTACCAAACTTCTAACATCTAACTGGTCATCATTCAAAATTTATCGTCACAATCGATCAAGGTATAAGACAAAGAAACTTGTTGAAATATTTTATGCTGAGAATTCTATGTTGTACCAAAAATATAATGTTGAATAAAGCTTCTAATAATAATAATAATAATGTCAATATAAGTAGCACATACCACAATAATACCAAATCCTACTTATCAACCTTTACTCTTAAGCCCTACAATAATAAATAATTCATTGTGTAGTGGTTCATAAAGTGTCGTTTCAAAAACTGATCGTCAAACAAATAACCGACAATAAGAATCAATAAATCAATAGTTCTACCCTACATAAACAATATTTCCCAGATCACTATGAGAATGAGTGTAGCTGATAAACAATGAAAATCTTTGCAAATAATATTATCCAGGTCCGAAAACAGAACGACAAACTGTTATCTACAAAATTAATTGAAATAATCGTGAAAAGTATTACATAGAACAAGGCGGTCGCTCACTCCGTCTACGTTGACGTGAATACCAATGGATTGAAACTTGTAATTAATTAATCAGTCTATAATTGAATGTGATCGACATCCAATGTCATGTGTGATACATGAAAGAATTATGTTTAATGCTATGTGAAGTTATGGTTGTGAACCGCTGTAGAATCTCAAACAACAACAAGCTTTACCAGTAGAATTCATCAGTCAATTAAATCTAGACCATCATGGAAAACCTAGAGGCACTGGACGGCCGTTTCACCCTAGTATAGGACCCATTAGCAGCGTACATCCACGATCCCGCGTCGCGACATTTGATCCCAGGACCTATCGGCCTCGCGTAAGAACGCTTAATCTCTAGACCAATGAGCCGGCAGTGACGGTCTCCGTGAGATATTTCCTAAAGTTCTTGTGAAAAACTGTGATAGTGGAGTTCAACCGGGTCTGTTGTGAGATAGTAACTCACTGAAGACAATAGTGATCAGTGGAGCGATTTCGTGGGTTAGTTGAAGTTAGATATCAACATCGTTGGATTCCGGTTCAGTGGTAATAAGGTTAAGCGCTCGCGCTCGAGACTGACAGGTCCTGGGTTCGAATCTCGCGGGGGGCGGGATCGTGGATGCACCCTGCTGAGGTGTCCCACAGTAGGACGAAACAGCCATCCAATGATTTCAGTTTTTCCATGGTAGTATAGCTGTAGTAGATTTATTTATTCAACTAATAAAGAAATTCGTATTTTGATGAACATACCGACGTTTCAAATTTGGTAATCTTTCATGTTCACTAGACCATTTTTCCATAGATTTTAAAATTTCATTCAAAACGTCTTCAGGTTTAATGTCTTCACCATTAGCCTGAGAAAAAATATATAGAAAATTGAAAATTAGTAGTTGGAAAAGTGAAGCATGTTATTTACATTAAGAATTCCTATAGTTTTTAAATCATAAACTGGTCTTCATTAAACTATCATTGGAAATTCGGGAGCACTGGAAAGCCGTTTCGTCATGGTATGGGATTTTCGATTAGAGCGCATCGACAATTTAGTGTCCACGCAAACGTTTAACCTTCAGACTAGTGTGCTGGCATCCAGTGATATCAGTGTAAAATTTTAATCAATTCATGACACTGCGTAACCAACTTTCTTTACCTTCGATCGACAGCTGTCCCACACCTGATGTGATTGAATTCCACAAGTCATAGTTTCTCATTAAAATTCTTGAAGCAAATCACTAGCTAACATATAATGGTTACACAATATCGTAAATTGATTTTGGTTAAACACTAACATCACTGGATGCTAGCTTAGTGGTTTAGAGGTTAAGCGTTCTCATGCAAGACTAAAAGTCTTGCGTTCATTTCCTGGTGAGGGGTCTCTGATAGTCATTAATGAGGAGTTTGATGTTCGGAAGGAACGGCTGTCTAGTGCTTCCAGGTTTCCAGTGGCAATCTAAATATGGTTTAAAAACATTGAAAATTCTATGATCTCCATAAAACCCTATACTAGAAAGAAATATTTTGAGACTGTTGAAATTGTATGTTAATATCCTGACCTTCTTCCACTTCCACTAAGAAAATAATCTAAACAGCTTCTGTCAATGTATATTGAAGGTATGCAGTTTCAATTCAACTACGTAATGTATCAACAAATCAATGAAGTCATCACATGAGCACGACCCTAACTGGTATATTTATGAGGAATCTTTGGAAAACTAGGTAAAAACATCCAATTGACGAAACAATATTCTACCACAGATATAATGATGATCCTTTCATTCCCGGTAACAGTTTAAAACAACTCTACATATCTACTTAATCTGTTAAGTAATGAGCACAATGAGATAAGAGTTATTATGGAACATGAAGATAAACGAAAATCCTACTTCTTACATATTGAAATGTAACAAACTTTAGAAGAGAAGTTATGGAAAGATAATATCCATCACTAAAGTACATAGAGTAAAGTTCATCTAAACTATTTTAAGCTGTATGAGATAAGATGGTGGTTGTACGTAGTCAATAGGAAACCGTGGACCTAGGTTTTGTGCTAGTTGACACTCATCAGCAAGATGTACTTTTAATCTTGAGGAAACTGATGCTCAATGAAAGATTCGATCCCATATCACCCAGCTTCAAAGTCAGAAACATTACCACCGAGCTTTACGGACTACGATCGACCTCTTATAGGACTGAGATGTATCTACAATTGATTGGTCACTGGGTGATGATCGATGTCAGGGAGCATCTATTCCCTCAAAATTACAGAGGCACCTTGCTGACGAGTGTCAAGTAGCACGAAACCTAGGTTCAGGGTTCCATGTTGACTACCTCCAACCACCATCTTATCTCAACATAGTGCAAACAATATCGAATCACGTAGGCTAGTGGCCACATTCCAACTTGGTTGATAGGATTCAGTTTACACTAAAAAGGATCTGACATACATGACATTCATCACTACCCAGTGATCAATCAACTGTAAATACTTTAAACTGTCTTATTATTATTATTATATAATATAAAGCTTACTTTACACTTGATTTGTGTACTCCATTGATCAATCATAACACGGGCTTCTTCTGCTTGGTAAATTAGTTGATTTCTTTCATCTTGCCATATTTTATATTCTTTTTCTGCAGCCTCTTCTAATTCAAAATGACGATGTCTAAATAATTCCACTTGTTGTCTATAACATTCCATCTATAAAGAGTAATAATAAATGAAGTGGTTTTATTCTTTTGAAGGTGAATAGTCTCCTTTTTTCATCATAAACTGACGTTATTTAAGGAAATCACTGAACACATTAGCATTTTCTTTATCCACGTAACACATATGGTTAATTACATCCTATCTCATCAAGCAATATTAAATAGCATAGAAGTAGATGAAAAGAAACTTGAAGGAGGTGGAAACAACACATGGCATCAATACATGATGTAAATGATCGTTGATCTGAGTCATGTTGGTAGATCCAGACTACCTGTCTGGTGATGACTAAGATCAATAGATAAATATATTGGGTGAAATAGCTTCGTGTCGTTTGAAATAGGAAAGATGCATTTGTTCTACACCTACCACTAGACCATAAGACGCATTCTTACTTCATAAATGTCTCTTATTTCTGTATTTTGGAGGCATATTCCTCGTGTTTTAGTCTTTCTCACTATCATTAACAACATGTAATTTCGATTTCCTTACCATTAAACTTGTTAACCTCATCTTATCATACTGACCAAAACATCTCGAATAGGATAGCACATATTAGTGTCAAGACTTGTATCGATTATAACGAATTGACTCACTGATTAATCCAGACCTCCCAAAGAACAAAATTAACAGTAATCAATCATAACTAATTCAGTTATCTGATGTTATTATCATGCTCTCTCCATATTGTTATTCTTTGTTATATTCTCTAGGCTAAACAGTTTACTTATGAAAGCTTCATATTCCTTCTAGACAATATCATTATTATCAGATTAGGTTTTGTGGAGATTTTAGAAATTTCACTGGTTGAAATCATGAGTCAATTGAAGCTAGACCACCAGGGAAAACCTGGAAGCACTGGACGAAACTCACTGAAGACAATGGTGTACGGTGGCGCAACTTCGTGGATTGGTTGAAGTTAGACATTAACACCGTTGGATCCTGGCTCAGTGATCTGGTTGGTTAAGCGCCTGGCGCGAGACTGATAGGTTGTGGGTTCGAATCTCGCGGGGGGGGATCGTGGATGCGCACTGGTGAGGAGTCCCATACTAGGACGAAACGGCCATCCAGTGCTTCCAGGTTTTCCATTAGTGGTCTAGCTTCAATTGACTCATGATTTCAACCAGTGAAATATCATTATTAATAATACAATATTTATACTTACCGTTAATAAACGATCTTTAATATCTTCTAATTCTCTTTCTACTGTTAATCTTGCTTCTTCAGCTTCTTGTACAGCTGTAATATTTTGCGTTGCATGTAATTCTTTCATTTCAATTAATTCATTACGTAATTTATTGATTATTCTTTCAGCATTTTGTAATTTTAATATAATCTCTTGATTTTCTAATTGTGCTGTACGAGCTTGTGAAGTTAATAAACTTGGACGTATACTACTACTGCTACTACTAGAACTAGCACTGAAACGTTGCAACACTTTAGGCAACTTTTGTGTATCTTCTAATTGAGCTAATTTTAACTGAACAATGATAAAAACAACAACAACAAAGATACGTTCGTTCATTATTGAAATAAACAGGAAACATTTAAACATTTACACTACTTCGAGTTAAGTTGAACGTATAATAATGAACCAATCTCAAACCAAGAAAATAAGTGACATTCATTAGGGAATTCGTAAATGTAATGATGGTGAATAAGCTTAGTGGATTATATTTCTATGTAATGTTTGTTAAGGTTAAAATTGAAGACAAGATTGAGCAAGAATTAACGCTTAAAATTAGAAGTAAGGTTTGGAGTTAGATTTAAGAATAGAGTTAGAAGTGACTTTTAAGGTTAGGATGTTGTGGTGTAATATAACCCAACCATAAATTTTAAGTCTGCATTTCAACTCGAAAGTTAAATTATAGCGATTTAAAACCTTTAATTAACCTAGATTGATAGGTCTTGGGTTCGAATTCCGTGAGCGGGATCGTGGATGCTCACTACTAATGAGTTTCATACTAGGATGAAACGACTGTTCAATACTCCCAAGTTTACTATGACGGTCTAGATTTAGTTGACTCATGTATCGGTCCAATTCGCCACACCTCATTAGCACAGAAAGACGAACACCAAATTCATAGAAGTAGTCACTTCGATGGTAGTAATATATAAAAGAAAGATTTCATATAAGGATATGATACAAAGAAAAAGAATTAGTTAGTAGAAAGAAAGATATGAAGCGATTTTAATCTCATAGTTTAAAGGAAGACATAGAGTATATACACCTACACCATTGTGATCGATTCTGAATAATATCACATAGAGTCTCTAATCATTGGTTACGATAGTCACTTGGACCCTAACAAAGTAGTGTGCATTTACCAACATGGCTCAGACTAGAAGTTAGTGACTTCAAGTACTGATGCCACGTCTTAGTTTGGTCGACCCTAACTTTCTTCCAACCATTCCCAACACTAGTCAGCATTGCTCGTCGTGGTAGTTCATGTTCAGTCGATGAAGATTCACAACATATATATTCACTATTTCTATTTTCTCACTTATATAGCTAAGGTAATCTGAAACATTTTCAATATTCAGTAAG